TGGTGAAATGTTATATGAAATTGGGTGGCCATAGTGAAACATTATATGAAATTGGATGGCCTTGGTAAAATAAAATCAAATTGGGTGATGATGGTGACATTAAGTATAAAATTGAGGGGCTATGGTGAAACAAAATCATATTGAGTGGCCATAGTGAAACCAAGTATAAAGTTGGGTGGCCACCAGTGAAATTACTCCTTTTGTTATTGGTTTTGTTCTTTATCGCGTTTTACTATATTGGTTGCTTCGTTGGTGCTTTTATCCGTCAGTGTTTAAAAAAGTTACAAAGTAAAGAATTATCAGTTATATCCATTTTGGTATATAATTTTTATTGCGATCAGGAAGAATTTGAGAAGCATGAATACCACTTTATCTGGCACTAGTATGGTGTATATACATAACATCTTCATCTGTCAATTCCTCTTTCCATTTTCATCTAGTTTCCAGTCAGTCCATTTGTGGAGAAACCTACAGTAAACTTGAATACAGAACCTGTTTTCGTATAGCCTTGGGAAATGATATTGACATCTATGAAGAATAAAGACTTAACGATCTTAATCCTTCTCGTTGTTGCTTCCTCTCTTCAGCTAGTTCTTAATTGACTAAAGCCAAAATAGCTCTCAGAAACGGAGATTTGATTTTCTTACCATAGAACACCTTGTGCGGTCCAATTATGTAATTTTGATGTTGCTGTTTATTGTCTTCTTGCTATTCTTCTTGTTGGGTTCTAAAAATTATGGTGTAAAATGAAACGCTTATGATTCATTTGGGATTCATAAGTGGAAATGAAATTTGGACTTCAGCTTTCGAGATAAACTCTTTATTTAACACAACTTGCACGTGTATGACTTTCTGTTTCTGAATTGGCAGATGTTCACGTCCATGGTTAAAAATATGAGCCCAGAAATGATGGCAAACATGAGCGAACAATTTGGTTTCAAACTTTCGCAGGAGGATGCAGAAAAAGCTCAACAAGCAATGTCATCTTTGTCACCTGATGCCTTGGATACAATGGTACAAACTTTGATTAAATAAAAAATAGAACTTATTTATTTTCAGCTTAGCATTTAAAGAATTATTCATATTAAAACTTATTTACTCGAAAGTAAACTTTAAGCATAGCCCAACATGATCTCAGTATGTTTATTTGCTCTTCCACATCCCTTGGTGGTCCTCTACCTCCTGCTCCATGTTAGATTTATCGTCGAAAAACATTTTCCTTTAATTATGTGAACTTAATATATTAGATAATGCAAGGAAGAAAACTCTCATTTGCCTCTCATTCTGGTTAAAATTGTTGCAGATGAAATGGGCAGATAGAATTCAACGTGGCGTAGAAGGTGCTCGGAAGACAAAAAATTGGCTTCTGGGAAGATCCGGGATGGTTTTGGCAGTAGTTATGCTCCTTTTGGCATTCATCCTTCACTGGTTTGGATTCATTGGTAAGTAGATGGGACCTTTTCTGTCTAACACAGTGACATTATTAAGCCGATCCCAG